TGAGGGCACTGTAGAAGTTCCCCACTGTGAAAGCATCGCTGAAGCCATGATGGGGACACTGCCAGAAGTATCCCATGTACCGCTCCCATGCATCACGAAGGGACTCATCTGGCTCTTGGCGGAAGTGAGTGATCTCCCGCTGAATCTCTGTGGTCTTCGATGCCGGATAGTACCTGTGCACGAACTTTTCAGCCAGATCGTCCCAAGAGGTGATGGACAGTGGGGGCTGGGTCTCCAACCACCTCTTAGCATTCCCCGCCAGAGAATGGGGGAAGAGGTGAAGGCGGATTGCGTCATCCGGGACACCATTCAGTTTGAACCCGTTCGTCAGCTGCAGAAAACGGGAAAGATGTGCCCGGGCCTCCTCATCCTTCAAGCCATGGAACTGGATAGAGGAAGTAATGAGTTGAATCCAGCATGGCTTGATCTCGAAGTTGTTTGCTGGAATCGGCGGATAGAGGATGACCGGGCGGATGTCAGCAATCCGCGGAGTGTAGTAATACTCCAAGGTGGGACCCGGTGGTGGTGGATGATGATGGACCCCAGCTGCCTGGGGATTGGGGTCGTTCCCCAGGAACTGGTTCTGAGGAGGTGGGTTCTGATTGCCTTCCATCTCGTACTCGTCCTCGGAGTCGCTGCTCAATTGGCCGTCTCTGCGCTCCACCGTAGCCAGTCTAGCTCGCTGTTGTCTCCGAAGTTGTTTGCAAGTGCGCTCAATCTCAGGATTCAACGGCAGTAAACCTCCCGACTGGCTACGGGTCATGCACTATCTGCACACAATCAGGCAATGCAAACCCGTGAAGGCACAAGTGGGAAGGAACAAACACTCAATGAAAAAATGAAAATGCTAAAGTAACAGAAATCAATTTTCTTCAACAACCTAGCCGTCCCCGGCAACGGCGCCAAAAACTTGACTCACTCCTACTGTCACTCTAGAAAATGGCCAAGTGTAACCACTTCCTAAAGCGTAGTATAGCGGGTTTGGGTTTTATTGTCAACCCGGGTCCTAGGTGTGATGACTACTCAGTGAATTCGTATTATCTAGCAATGAAACTTTAGTGAAGATCTAAACTAACAAGCAAGCAAAGCAACTAAACGGTTGTTTTCAGGTTAAGAGAGGTCACCCGGATATGGTTCCCCCTAGACTGCAGTTAAGCCGGATTGTAATTACCAAGTTCAATTTCTATGATAGTTATACTGCGGAAGGTTCTCAAACAGTCTGAAGTCTCGACTAAAGGTCTTCAGACCCTCTCAATCTGAGTCTCTAGCGGGCGACTAACCTCCACCGGAGTAAACAGATTGAGGCCCTATGAACAAAACCTCCACTACCGAATTGAATTCAGTACAGAATAGTGAATTGGCTCCTCGACTAAAGTCACCAATTCACTACCTTCAATTAAGGGTATTCTATTAACCTAGGCAGATATTCTCATTCTAGGTTAAAGCAGAAACAACAGGAATTTGATCAGGATTCATGCCATTCAATCATTCAAACCTCAATCGAATATAATCTATTCATAGAAATAGTACTTGGGTTCATACAATCAATCCCAACATACAGAACTAGGGTTTCCCACACCCAGATGAATGGGAGAACTACTCCATGGAGAAAGAAGCAAAAGCAGAATCAGACGCGGAAATCATACTGTGAAGATGGATTTCTGCTCCTGGACGTTGAATCGGCACTTCTCCAAGCTCAAGCCAAGCTCCAATGGTGATGAAGATCAAGCTAGGGCACTTGGAGACTCTTGTTCGTCGCTTTCTCTCTCTAGGAATCGCTCTGTCTCTCTAAAACTCGAATCCCCTTCTTTTTGGCTGAAAATCTGCTTAAAAGGGCATCAGTGGCCAAAGCACGGTCGAGGGCACGGCCGTGCTTTGCCTCAGCCCGCCCGTGCTTTGGCTAGGGTTAATTACACCGCCAGCAGTTGGGGAAAACACGGCCGTGCTTTTGGGAGAACACGCCCGTGCTTTGGTGGAACACGGCCGTGCTTTCAGCCCGTGTTTTCAGCTCGAGTTGGCCAAACTCAAATCAGCTCTCGGCAGTAAAAGCACGGTCACAGAACACGGCCGTGTTCTAAAGGCCTCCTGCCCGTGTTTTCACTGCCGAACCTGTTCCCCTATATTCAATGCTTCGTTTCTCCCTCGTCCGGACTCCGAATCAGTCGCCGTTTGATCCCAGACGCTCGTAGTCTCGTCCTCTTTCTTTTAATGACAGACTTGCACGATTCTTCGTCCATAAAGGGAGGTAAAAATCCATTCTTCTTCAGGTCATGCTAGAGTTTCTTCTCCCGAATCGCCAATTGATCTCTGATTGACTTGAAACTTGCGCCTATGCTTCACTTTATGTGCTAGGACCTGAAATGTAACAAAGGAACACAACCTAGCGTAAAATAGGCCAAAGAAGCCATAATGCAAGCTTAAACGATCAAGAAACAAAAGGGGGAAAACATGTGCAAATATCGAGTCATCAGTTGTATTCTTTAATGTATATGCAAATGCATGTCGTTTATAACATAATACTCCAGTGGAACTTTGTTTCCTCTCGCACTAACATGCAAGCAATTGTATCCAACTACAATTTTAACTCAAATATATTAAACCCCTATGATTCTAGACAATCACAACATATATTCTGCTTTTGAATGTGAACGATCTTAATTCATAATGCTAATGCAAGTGAACAGGAATGACACTGTTAATGATGGATGTACTGAATCGGTACTAGAGATGACAATGATCTTGAGAAGAAGAAATACATTTTTTATGAGGAAGATACAAGTACCAGCGATGAGGAGAATGAATAATTTTTTAGGTATTGTTCATAATTTAGACGAGGTAAATTCAACTCCAATGAAAAAGATAATTGGTATTTGTAAATATTTTATCATCAAATTTTTGTGCTTAATAAAATGCATGAAAACAAGGAAGAGATTACTGAAATGCAAGAGAAGAAGGTAGAGGAAATTGACAATGGAGATAAATGTCTCGCTAATGGAGATGGCATTATTATTGGTGCAGATGATGATGTTGCTCATGACGGAGGAAGTGCAAATAAGTCAACATGAAAATGTGCAGTAATCTCTCACGACGAGGAGTAAATAGAAGGGTGATTTTAAAATGACTTTAGGAGTCGGTATGAGTTTGCCTTTCATTTCTGTAAAAAGATTTTAGTCAATGAGTGAGTTACAATGTTGAAAAACACTATAATATTGATCATTTTGAATTGTTGAAGTACTTTAATAATTTGAGTTCTCTTATTCTAACAATCAATTTCAATATTTTCAGTATGTGAATAGTATCTATTTTTTAAACTATCAAAACCCGTGTATTTCACCTGCAATTTTATAATATTGTTTCTGTGGTTGACGATTGAATCCGGCCAACTGGCCGGGCCCGCGACTAGTACAGATGGCAATTCTACCACTACTGTGGGTATTCGACTCAATCAACGAGTGGAATCCCTGTATTGATCGAATACAGGATGGGTTTTCAATTTCAATATAAAATGGTCGGCATGTGTCAAGATTATGGGACTAGGTGCCCCGTCCAAAACATGTCATCTGAACTTCTTAATTTAAGCAACGAAGTATGTCTTAATTCTTTTTATAATAAGTCATTTATAATAAGTAATTTCGGTTTTGGATCCCGCTAATTGTTAGCAGACGTTGATGTACTAATGGGTGATGCCTAGCTGTAGCTGATGACTTTCCAAGGGTGGCAGCAGCTGCTGCTGAATTTCCAAACTTCAGGGAGAGAATTTTTTGGGATTTATTTTGGAAATGTAATCTCCGGGGAGGGGCTGAGAGTTAGAGAGTCGCTTGAATTAATATGTTAGAGAGACTTTGATTATCATTTTCCTTTTACAGGTCGAGAAAGAATAAGATGGAATCTTGTCACTGCCACTGGCTTCATAGTTAAATCCCTCCCCTAGTAAAGTATGTATCTTCTAGTGGATCTTGTTCCATAAAAAGACATTAACGCTTGATCGTCGAATATTGTAGCAGCGGACGAAATCTACCTGGCCCGAAAGTCAGGATATCGTATTCACTAGGGTTTCTCACAACCACTTATTTAGGTGATGAAGACGATTTCCATGTTGAAAGAAAACTTTTATTGGAGGTTGAAGTGCCTCCGATTTTGCACAACAGAAAATTAATTAAGAAAAATTAAGTGCGAGAAAAGTAAATCTATGCTGAAGTGGGCGAGTGAGGATGCATGAAAGAGAGGTGTTGCACAACCGAAACTCCTCCTAGAGTTCTTTTGACTCTGCTAAAGACTTTGGTTACACATAGTTCTTTTGATTAATAGGTGGACCCCATGGTACTAATTTTCTGGCTACGCCAATGCTTATAGACTTCTTCATTGAGGCAGTCGTGCAATTCAATCGATTGATGATCGATTGTGAAGGATTGTAATTTCTCGTCTCATCCATCCACAAAGATGGATAGGAGGATATAACCTTTGAAGATAGTCCGCATCCCTCCATGCAGCTATTGCTTCCGGATAACTTCTTCACGCGTTCTGGACGAAATAGTTACTTCCAGAAATCGGCAATCACAGTGTCGTTTCACGCTTTGTAACTAAAGAATCGAAACATCTTCAAACAATTCGAGTTATTGGAACCAACTGGTTATTAACTAAAGGATGGGAACTAAGATGAGGAAATATTGTAAGATGAAGCATGAGCTCAACCGTTTCTCTCCACCTCCCGCTGGTCTCTTCTGAGTTGGACCAGTCCGGCCGTCCGGTTTGGAATGATTTGGCATCGACGGCAAACATTAAGTGTGTAAAAGTAAGAAAGAGTTTCCTGCACCGGTAACTCTTGTAAAACGGCATCAACGTATGCCGAAAACGACAACATCTCCCGTCACAGAATAAGAAGCAAAAGCAGCACCGGCCTTTCGAATGCTTCGATTAATCTTCTACTCTCCTCATTAGATCAAGCACTATAAAAAGGAATGACATTGATAGCTCTAATTAATAAGAGAATAAAATTTGCTATGGTTATCAACAAAGCATTGCTAGCGACGGCAGTATTGGCGACCATAATCATCATTATGGCACGTCCTACGGTCCAGACAACAGTTTACATTACCAATCACTTATCCCAAAAAATATTGATTGTGCATTGTCGATCCAAAGACGACGACCTCGGAGCCCATGCGGTCGCCGTTGGGGCAACCATCCACTGGAGCTTTGGGCAGAGTTTATTTGGCGAGACACTTTTCTGGTGCAAACTCGCGGTCCAAGATAAGCGTATTTCTTTCGTGGCGTACGAGCAAGGCATCGACATCATGGGAGACTGGTTTGTTCGTGACGATGGAGTTCACGGGAATGGTAGCCCGTACTTTCTGAAGGCTGCATGGACGCGACCATAAGCGCATGGATTTGTATCCACATCGGTCTTCTAATGGAATGATACAAGATGCAATTTTTATCTTTCATTTTGTAAAAAGTTGAGTTATCGAGATCAATAAATTCATAATATAGTATCAAAGCCTTATTTACTGAGAAATGTTTTGTTCAAATTAATGATCTTTTGTAAATGTACCCTAAAGCCATACCCCAAACGGCCTTATGCTTGTGATGATGTTCTACCTATATAGTTTGCCCATATATGTAACTAAACCCTTCATGCCATATGATGATGAACAGTAACCCACGATTCAAAGGTTTTGCTTGTAACTCACAAGCGAGAGAAAGACGTTGGTGTTTATAAACCTTTGATTTATTTGATTGATACGGAACCAATGCCAAAGGTACATATTTATAGGCTTAGAAAAGCCTAATACTTACCCTAATCCTACCCCAATTCGGCTACCCCTTCCCAAACACAAAAGGAAAAGTTGACCCAAAAGGAAAAACACCCTAGCCCAAACCGAAACTACCCAAAGCCCAAAACATGGAGAATACCCTCATCAATCCTCCCCCGTTGAAATCAACCTTGTCCCCAAGGTTGTCCCTCGCCATCTTCTTCCTCGAACAAGCACATCACCTTTGCATTACTGCATTTATGCCCGATGGTGAACCGCTCGTCGCAGTTGAAGCAGAGGCCTTGAGCTCGTCGCAGCTGCTGCTCCTCCCAGCTCAACCTCTTCCCTCCTGACGGTCCACGCGCTGGTCCTCCTTCGCCTTGAAATCTCGAGCTTGCAGTTCTCGGATTATAGCCACCTCCTCCGCCGGTAGAGCCACCCCCACCACTGCCCGTCGGCCCTCCTCCTCCGGCAAACGACACCGCGCGACCAGCAGGCTTATTACGCTGGATCTGATCGTTTTTCATCCTGGCAAAACTAATGGCGTCGAGCAAGGACTGGGGACAAAACATTCGGATCTCATCAGCGATCTCCGATTTTACACCTCCCAAATAAGTGCCCACCAACGCCTGTTGCGTCCAGTCGACGCAGCGATTAGCCAATTTCTCGAACTCCTGGTAATCACGCAGGGTTCCAGTTTGACGAATCCGCGATAGGGCTTCGTCACAGCTCTCTCCTTCAGTCGGACCGAACGTCGCCTAAAGCTCCTGCGAGAACAGCCCCCAAGAAACTGGCTCCCCAGCGTCTTTGTAGGTGCGCTTCAGCCATTGCCACCACTGATTTGCCTCCCCTTCCAGATGAAAGGCAGCTAGCGGCACCTTCTGATCCTCCGGAACCTCCTGGTACTCGAAAAACTGCTCAACTCGCGGAAACCACGATCCAGGATCATCCTCCGCAAACTTCGGGAACTCGAGTCTCGCGAGCTTGGTCAGAAAACCTCCCCCGCCACTGCTACGGCCACTCCCGTCACCGGCCGGTTTGCCGAAGCTCTCCTGCACGGCCGAGTCGAGGTGCCGAGCGCCGCTGCCGTCGCCGAACTTGGACTTGGACTCGCCCTTCTCGCCGGTCTTTGGCCCGGTCGTGCTCCTTTCGCCAATCTTCATCCCGGTCGTACTCTTCTCTCCCTCCTTCTCCTCAAAGCTCTCCTCATCGCTAGCAGAGCCCACCGGCCCTTTGCCCTCCCGCTGCGGAATCCACGCGTCGAGCTTGGCCAGCACCGTCTACATCATGGCGTCGATCCTGGTCATGCGCGCCCCTTGGGCGGTGACCTCCGCCGTCAGATTCGCGATATTCTCCGTATTGGTCGCGATTCCTGCCTGCATCTCCTCGAACGTTGCCTCTAACGCCGAGCATCGTTCAGCTCCCGTGCCGGTACCCATTGCGAACAGATCCCGAGCGGATTCGGAACCAGGCTCTGATACCAATTGATGAACCGTAACCCACGATTCAAGGGTTTTGCTTGTAACTCACAAGCGAGAGAAAGACGTTGGTGTCTATAAACCTTTGATTTATTTGATTGATACGGAACTAATGCCAAAGGTACATATTTATAGGCTTAGAAAAGCCTAATACTTACCCTAATCTTACCCCAATTCGGCTACCCCTTCCCAAACACAAAAGGAAAACTTGACCCAAAAGGAAAAACAACCTTTGATTTATTTGATTGATACGGAACTAATGCCAAAGGTACATATTTATAGGCTTAGAAAATCCTAATACTTACCCTAATCCTACCCCAATTCGGCTACCCCTTCCCAAACACAAAAGGAAAAGTTGACCCAAAAGGAAAAACACCCTAGCCCAAACCGAAACTACCCAAAGCCCAAAACATGGAAAATACCCTCATCAATCCTTCCCCCTCAAAGAACCTTGTCCGCAAGGTTCTGATGTTGACAAATTCCGCGGGGGACGACGTAGCTTTTGCAGCGACAAGGCTTTGATCGCCTCCTGAATTTCCAGCTTGGATTCCGTCCTCTTGTCTTCTTCCTCGCATTGGTTGGAACTCGCGGCTCCGCAGCTTGGCCATTGACGGGGTAGAGAATCGCATTTATACTAGGATCATGGCAACTTGGCAATACAAGTGGAAGACTTGTATCATAATCATTATGATAATTTTGGTACCATGCAAACGTAGGCCATGTACGTATGTGTGGATGAACAAGTACTGGTTGGCGCCCAACAACTCCATCTTCGCCAAAGTCAGACTGCCGCTGGTCCTGTGTAATCGCTTTCTCCTTCGACCCATCCCGCACACGTCTAACTAGTGAGCGCCGTGCTGGCGGCGGCTGTTTAAGTGAACCCGCACAGCTCCCATTGCCGGTAATTGCTCTGCCTCCTCTATGTGGAACTCCAGTGGCGGCTGCCCTCTTCTTGCAACCACCAGATCGAGGAATGATAGCCTCGCACATATTAGATTCACCTTTGCGCACTGCTTCCTTCGTGTCAACCTCGTTGACGGAGATCTTAATATCCCCCACCGTCCTAATTTCATTGGCGTCGACGCGGGCCATGTCGTCGTTGTTGCGCTCGCCTCTGGAGACGATTGCGCGGTAGGTGTTCAGCTCTCGTTCTCGACAGAATGCCGTGAACCTTTCACGCGACTTTGCTAGCTGCGCACAAGCGACCTTGGTCTGCTCGAGTGCCATCTTTGCATTCCGCGCTAGAGCGCGGTACGGGGCTAGGTCAAGAACCATGTTACCTTTCCCAGTAGGATGCGTAACCAGGCTCTGATACCAATTGATGAACCGTAACCCACGATTCAAAGGTTTTGCTTGTAACTCACAAGCGAGAGAAAGACGTTGGTGTCTATAAACCTTTGATTTATTTGATTGATACGGAACTAATGCCAAAGGTACATATTTATAGGCTTAGAAAAGCCTAATACTTAACCTAATCCTACGCCAATTCGGCTACCCCTTCCCAAACACAAAAGGAAAACTTGATCCAAAAGGAAAAACACCCTAGTCCAAACCGAAACTACCCAAAGCCCAAAACATGGAAAATACCCTCAGAATTATGGTTATCTGACTCGATCAACGAGAGAAATTCTTGCATTGACCGAATACGAGGTAGGTACTCAGAAAACCCGCATATAAAATGATGGCCATTTATGGGTCGAGATTAATGAGATTACGTGTCGCCGCTTCATCCATTTATCGACCCTAATTCGATCTTATGCTACATGCATTTCAAAACATATAATCTCACCACAAGAAAACATGGGATTTGTGTCGGTTACATTGTGTCTGTGTATTTAATGTACCGACACAAAATTGTAATTCTGTATATGTATAGTGAACGACTCAAATTTTTATGATTTTGCGTTAGTTTAATTGGAACCGATACAATTTTCATGATTTTGTGTTGGTTTGAATATATTATAACCAACTCAAATTTTTGTTATTTTGTGTCGATTTACTTACTTGGCCGAACTAGAAGGTTGACCGTTATGTTTGACGGTTAAAATCATAACAAACGATCAACCCTCCATGTCACCACCCGGTCTGTTATAAACATGGTGCTACGGATCGGGAAATCGCCGGAATCGGCAAAGTAAGAATACGAAAGCGAGAATTGCAAAACACATACGTGGTTCACTAACACGATGTGTGTTAGCTAGTCCACGGGCGAGAGAGAGCCAGTTTCACTATATCGAGGAGATTACAGATTACAGAGGAGTATGAGAAGTATTTATAGTACTTCTCCATGTGGGTCTAAACCTAATCCAATATGGCAAAGGAAACGGTTACAGATCAGGCCCAGAACCCGAACCCAAATAACATTGAGCCCCCAATTACCAGTCGTAGCGGCTGATAGTTGGATTCAAGTCACATCAACAAATCTCCACCTTGACTTGAATCCTCTTCCTCTGAAATCTCTGATGTACTCTGCTCCTTCTCTCTCTCTCCTGCCATCAATGCCCCGCAGGGCGGAGCCACCCACTCAAGACATTCAGCAAGTCCACGCAGTGTTGGAACTTGCCATGTGGAACCGGCTTCGTGAACATATCAGCATGATTATCCGCGGTGCCAACCTTCTTCACCTTAATCCTCTTCTCTGTCCTCAAGAAATGATACCTCACATCGATGTGCTTAGTCCTCTCATGGTGGACTTGATCCTTGGCCAAGCATATTGCACTCAAACTGTCGCAATACACCACTGCCCGATCATGATGTAGACCCAGATCACCAACCAGTCCCTTCAACCATATTCCCTCTTTGGCAACTTCTGTCAACACCATATACTCTGCCTCAGTAGTAGACAATGTCACCGCCGACTGCAGAGTTACCTTCCAACTCACTACAGAACTCCCAAGAGTGAATACATAACCGTTCATCGATCTCCTCGTGTCAACATCTCCAGCATAGTCCGAGTCAGAATACCAAGACACCAAGCACTCTGTATCACTTCCGAAGCTAATCCTCACATCAGGTGTACCCTTAAGGTACCGGAAGATCCTCTTCACAGCCTGCCAATGCTCCTTCCCAGGTTGTATCATAAACCCGCTGACAACACTAACAGCATGTGCAAGATCAGGTCTAGTGCATACCATAGCGTACATCAAG